CCGGGGGTGGGGGGGGGGGTTGGGGCGGGAGCGGGGCCGCGGAGCGGAGAGGCTTGGAGCGGCCGGGGGAGCTGTCGGGGGGCGTGCGGAGGGGTGCGGTGCCAAGTCGGGGTTCCCTCGCCGGGACGGCGGCGGAGGGCGCGTTTCTCTCGTCTGCGTGCGGGAGTGAAGCGGCTCCGTGAAATCCAGGCGCCGCCGGGAAAGGGGCTTTCCGGAACGGTGTGTTAATTAAATATCGCTCTTAAACTTTTTCCGCCACAAATGACGTCCACCCTCTTCCTACGCCAGGCCCTAGAGAGAGGGGAAAAACTAAGGCCGAAAGAATTTAGGATGCACCCCCAGGGGTTGTTTTACCAAGGTGAGAAGTGCTGGTTAAAGTGCGTTAGCTGTAATGGTCGACGAAAATAAGCAAAGCAAGGTTGACGGAAAAGGGTGATACAGTTACATGTAGTAAGAAAAACGAGCTTTTTAGTACCATGTGTTCCCCAGAGGGAGATTCTTCTTTAATGTAAGGGAACCTGAGCATTGGTAAATTATTGATGTCTTCAAATATATGTGTGAAAAGGAAAAGGGGTGTTAAGCAGTTAACCTTGAGGCCCAGTTTAAGCTTACAGCGTGTAATACTATGTGCAGGAACTTTATTAAAGGTGCTTAGTATCGTAGATTATGAGTTAAGCCTTGCACTGTAGAGAGACTTAGATAGTCATAGGCCATTTGTTTACTTGGGTTTGCTGAAGATCACTTGCAAAAGTTCAATTTGGAAGCCAGCCAGAAAAACATAGATAAATAGACCAGTGAGGCACCTTTAGTCTAAAAACCACTTTGTGCCCTTATTTCTGAATAATCCCTTCTGTGCTCCAATTTCCTTCTTTTGCTATACTAAGGACAAAAAATATTGTTGGGATAGAAATAATGTTTATTAACCAAAGAGTTACTTAGAAGGGGAGTAAGTGTTAATTAGTTTTTCTGTAATACAGAAAAACTGGCTACCATCTTTGCACAGGTAGCGCACACCTTATACCTTGAGATCAGCCTTTTAATGTGTTTGTTATGTAAATAAAATTTTCACTAGCATATTCCATTAACATTGGAGCTTTAAGACAATCTTTAGAAACTTTCAATACCTCAGTGTTTAATTTTTTTCTTGTTGTATCAGAGAAAAGTCATTTGCGATTTATTTCTTTATATTAGAATGGGTGATGAACAGATTTAGGTAGTTTCATGTAGTCTTAATGTGAGACTTAATATTGGTACAGTAAGGAGATCCAGTTGATTCTCTGAGGTACCTTGTTCTATCTCCCACCTTCCTATTTCTTTTTCTGATACATTTGTGTTCATGCTTCTGTCCCTTATGTTTTGTGTGGGGACAAATTAATATCTTTCAAAAGTAGATGTAGCTTCAGATATTTTACTGTGTTTTTGCAATTCTCAGGGTATATTACAAGAAGCCCTAAAGTTTTGTCATAAAAGTATGGATTTTGTCAGATTAAAATAAAAGAATTTTGATGTATTTTGACAAGTTCTCTTGCATCTAGAAGGGTTCAGAATTTAATTATCTTCATTATGGGGCAGTTTGTATAACAGTAGTTTTTGATGAATGCTTGTAACAAAAGGGCAGAAATCCATGCCCTATAAAATTTTGCAATATGCTAGCAGCTTTTTTTTCCCCTAATGGCAAAATGTGTACAGTACAGGGCTTTTATTGTATGTTAGGAAGAAAACAGTAACACCCCCCTGCCCTTTTTTTTTTTTTTAAAGTCTCTTGGCAATTACCAAAAAGGAAAGTTTTTCCTTGGATAGAAAAAGAACATCTCATATGTGAGATCTTTGATACTCCATGCACAGTATCCTACCCTACCTCATCTCCTGTTTATCTTAACTAGCATTCACCTGTAGTATGCCTTCCTGTCACACTTCAGTTTGCCCCTGAATGTTTGAGTTTTAGTGCCTGTGAGTATGGAATAGTGAATCAGCTGATTCGGAAATCACGCCGTACCAGTTTTCCGTCATGTTTTTTCTAAATATGCTTCAATCCTTATTTACATTAATTATTTTTGATGTGTACTGAACAATGAATATTAAACTGAAGAGCAGTATTTTTAAACAAGTTAGTATATAGGATCAAGAATAGGACTAGAATTTAGGATTAAACAGTAGGAGGCTACTGTTTTAACACACAACAGCCTTTGTTTACTGATGAACTTTACTAATATACAAATGACACCCAGAAAATGTCACATTTCGCTTCTAAACTGACCTAGGAATTGTGAAAGCATTTATGTTATTTGCCCCACATTTTCCAAAAATTGATAGTGTAGAATACAGAAATGTCACCAGCTGAAGCATAGAAAAGCCGTGTATGCATTGCGCAGCTAATGAGTTGGAAGCCATTTGAGTTTCCTTAGACCAGAATCTTGAGTTTTTAAAGAGTTTTCTGTGAGATCAAAGAACCTGAGTGCTTGAAATGTTTGTGTAGATTTAATTTTCTTGTGCTAACCAGAATAAAGCAATGGGGTTCTGGAATCTGTACAGGGGTTGCATGTGTTCAGTTACATTTGCGTATGTCCTTCAAGTGTATTCCGGTCTCATTGACATACAAGATATACAAGGAAATGATATTCTGGAAATTCTGGGAAGCTTGGGAGTTGAGCATGCAGCTTTGGGAGTGAGGTGGGAAGTTCATGGATGTGCTTTGTTTTTTTTCCTTGCATTTGATGCTCAAGAGAAGCAGGAAAGAGGTCAAACTAAACTCACTATACCATAGTAGTCTTAGAGTTGTAAGGACAAGAATAAGATGTTTAAGTATGCTAACAAGAACACTTGCCTTGTGTGGGTTAATTACCATGTTTTATGATACCTTGCTATATTCGACCTTGTAGGTATACATATTCTAGCAACTTGTGAAAATTTTCAGTTCTCTAATATCTAACAAGAATTTTATGTTTTCTACAGCAAGAGCTTCCTTTTTAGACTGGTTGGAAAGTATCTGTGCCAAATACACTGGTTTTAGTCGTACTGTATTCTTCCTTATTGATTAAAAAGTGGCATATCCTGTTTATGTAATCTTTCTCTCAATGAATGCAGTTTTTTGCTCATCTTTTTTTTTTTTTTTTTTTTAAGGAGGCAAGGCAGAGGAACAATAATACCTAATATATGTTCTTTTTTGAGATTAAAGGCAGGCAGCTGAGCTACTTAATTGGTAATGCCACATAAGCTTCTTGAAGGGGAGATAGAATTGCAAATGTTCTTCAACAAAAATCAGCGGTTCTTTGCAGGAGTCTGAAATAGTCAGGTCAGAAATATATAATAAAAAAGGCAAATGTTTGAGTGTTCAGAAAACTTGGATTGTTCTCTTCCCTACTGCTGCGTTGTTGTGGTCTTGGTGAAGTCAGATGAGGGGCAGCTATAAAATGTGGAAAAGTAATTAAAATATAGGTAGTTACCAGGCATCTTCAGAAATCTCGCCAAGTCTCTTTCATCATGTTGTCTTGGCAAATGTTGTCATTTATATTGTTTTCATTATACAGGAGGAAAATATAGTGACATGTTTTGCAATAAACACTGTATTGGAAAATACACTGTAAGAAAATAATTTCTGGTAAGAGAAAATACCAGGTCACTTGATTTTCCTGTTTCTAACCTATTATTTAATATGTAAAGGCACACACCTGTCAATTTAAAAAAATATATTTCTGTGCAGAAAATTTCCCTCTACACTCCTTTTACTGTATGCACAAGCAATAACTTGTGTGTGGCAGGGATTTCTACATCCTTCATCTGTCTAATTTCTTTTCTATGTGCATTTTTTTTCCTGGTTTTGGGGGATGCTAAATAACAAAGCAAGATTTTTATAAAAAATAAATCAAATATTGCATGTTTTCTCTGCCAATTTTGCAGTGTATTTCGTCTGCTGTACCCATTTATTTTTCCGTAAACTTATGAACCAGTAAGACGACTGAAAAAATAGACTGTGGCTTGCACAAGATCATGTTAATACTGTCTCAGATAACTTGAGTGTAGTTGTTGGGAAGAAGATGGTTTTCACAAAATAATAATTTTGAACTGTAGTATATTCTAATCTTCATAAAGCGTCATGACACATTGAACACTTCTTGATCCAGAAGAGGAAACAATAGATGCTAATAAGTTGTTATTGCTTTTTTGGGTTTTTCAGGTTTCCCAACTTTCTTTTTTTTTTTTTCTTTCCTTCTCTCTTCTCAGTATAAATTTTATTCTTTTTTTAGTTTATGTTCATTTGTTGGACTTAAACTGAGGAATAATGTTGGCATACTTCTCCCTCTTTGATGTTTACCCTTTTATAATGAATTGTTATATTTATCTTCATTCAAGTTTTATTTTGCTAAGCTGAGTAAGCAAGACTAATTTTTCTTGTATGCAACAGGCTCTTTGGTCATATCAGTAGCTCCTTTCTGTAGTTCTTGTAATTAGAACTTCTTTTTCTTGAAAACAGGAATTCAGAATTGTGTATGTTATTCCAGACAAGTTGTTGCTCATGTGCAACGATGTTCATATTTCCCTGTCTTCATTGCAAAGAAATCCCTGATGTGCATTTTCCTCTTTTTTCCCTTTTTTTCCTCCCTACAGAGCTCCATCAGTTTATAGTTGATCACAGAATGACTATACTCCCAAATAACAAGCCATGACTACATGAAAGAAGCTTGTATCGGTCCTTATGTGCAGGAATCTTGCATTTCACAGATTTTATTTCATGTGGCTTCCAGTATGCCATTTTTCAAGACTGGTCACTTGTGTGTATGATACTCCATTCCCCTTTGTTGCAGTGCTTTCCACTTGTCTCACCTAAATCTACCTATTCTTTTCTGGCAGCATTGTTAAAAGAAAAAAGTTCAATATAATTTTTGGAGGAACTAGTATTTCTTTTCTAGTCCAATTGTTCCATGTTTGCAACATCATACTGTATTCTTGTAGAAAGTTTATTTCTTGTTTTAAGATTACCCTCTTATCACATTTAACCTCAGATAATTTACTGAGTCCAGATTCCATTTTGTTTGCGTTTCCTTTTTTCAAGGAAATGACTGATTCATTTTTTAGGTATTGGATTAGTCCAGCATGTCCTAAATCTGCTAACGCTTACTGCATTTTTATCCTGTTTTCCATTTTAATACAATTGGATTCAGACCACTGAGCCTGATAATTTTTTTTCTTCTTTAAGTGTTAACTAGTGTATTTTTTTTCCCTCTCTAATCATATAATGGCACATTTAATTTGATTTTATTAAAATGCTCGTTGCAGTTTTTTGGGGACAGCTCTAATGTTTTGGTGTAGACATTTTTTCAGTTCCCCAGCTTCAATGTATTGGCCCCCTCAAGTTATGCTTTTACCTTGGAAGGTGTTAATACATTTGCATTCCCACTAACTAGCCTGTCTTTATTCCTGTATCTAGTGGCATTATTTGTATTGGAAACCAAGGCACATTTTATCGTCACCCGTACCTCCACAAAATGGTATCGCTTCTTCTGTGTTTTTTTTTTTTAATCATTATTATTTATAAATCATAAGCGGTTTCACTACTCTCTTGGAGTGTTGGGAAGGCTTTTGTGGCTAGAGAAAGAGGTAGCACAAGTGATTCTCTTCTGTGAAGCAGAAGTAATAATGTAAGGTATCCCTTCAGTTCCTGAGCAACAGATACTCTCCAATAAGATGCTTGATTTCCATTTTAAAAAACTGTTGAAATAGGGTGAAAGATCCCATCAGTTTTGTGCCACAGCTGTTCCAGCACCCAGATGTAATTTGCTTGGATGAGTTCCTGGAATTATTGAAAATGGCGAAGGCATTTAACACTCAATGTTAAGGTACCTCTATGACAGCGTACACAAATTAACTCTCAAAAGGCATTCTTGAATGTGCCTTATATTCAGGAACCTTTCACCTGCAAGAGTACAGGTGAAGATGTTCTTTATACCAGTGGGGAAGGAAAATATTTTACAAGCTATTTCTGTAGTCAGGGTAATTTTCAAAGACAACAAAAACAATGTAAGTAGAGGATGCTTTTTGCTCAGTTCTCCACAGACAGCTAAAAACTATTGTTTATGCATGTGTAGTTTGATAAGGTGTACATAACAAAGTGCCCTCTTGTGAAAGCTCGAGGAAACATTCAGACTATTTCATATTTGTAGTTAAGAAAAAAGGGAGATGGAACAAATCAGCACCAAAGTTCTGTTGAGGAGTGAAGCTACCAGCAATAACAAAAGAGCTGCGTCTTCTGAAGAGATGCAGAGATCTCTGTAAAACTTCCTCTAAATCTTGCAGCTTCCTCCTCAACTTGCTTATGTTTTTTGCTAAGCTTTTACCAGAAACATAGGAGGGAGGGAATGGGGGGAGTGGTCTCTACTCTGTTTTTTCACACCTCCCACTCTGGGGTCCTTCTCTAGTGATTAACCGCAGTTCATGCCTCTGCTGTTGCTCATTGCTTTTTGAAGCAACAACATGGATTGTCAGAATTCTTAACAGTCTCTTTGCTGCCTCCGACCCTGGATATCGGCTGGGAAACCACGCAGAATCACTGGTGCTGTTTTCCTGAACCTGTGGGCACACAACAGTAGTTCATTGATTTGTACTGGGTTAATGTTTGGAGAGTAGCTGTTGATGTGAAAGGAATTTTAGGACAGCAGGTGGGTGGGTGGAATTGCTCTTCTAAAGTTTTCTTTTCCACAGCAGAGATGCAGTTCAGCGTAAAGAAATATATGTTGTATCTGAACATACCAGATTTGTTTTGCAAATAAGTGCTTCAATTTCTCTAACTCTTTGGATTCATTTACATGGTGAAATACATATGCAGCAAGCTCGATGTCAATTCATATGCTATGGATGCTCCTGGTTAACTTACCATGTGAATACCTACACTAAATGTCTGAAGTAGATTATCTAGGTGACATTGGTGGTTGTATCAGGAACTGTCAGTCTTCTGGGAAGGACAAGTTGGAGGCCAGGTATTTAGTGCACACTGATTAGACTGATCCCTGAGCCTTCTCTTCTCCAGCCTAAAGAACCCCAGTTCTCTCAGCCTCTCCTCATATGACAGGTGCTCCAATCCCTCGGTCATCTTTGTGGCCCTTTGCAGGACTCAGTTCAGTCTGGCATATATTGGGGAGCCCAGCGCTGGACCCAGCAATCCAGATGTGTCCCACTAGTGCTGAGTGGAGGGGCAGGATCACCTGCCTCAACTTGCTGGTAACACTCCTCCTAATACAGCCCAGGGTGCTGTTGGACGCCTTTGCTGCAAGGGCCTGTTTCTGGCTTATGTTCAACTTGGTGTCCACCAGCACCCCCAGGTCTCTCTCTCCACAAAGCTGCTTTCCAGCTGGTCGGCCTCCAGTCGGCACTGGTGCCTGGGGTAATTCTTCCCAAGGTGCACGGGTTTGCATTTCCCTTTGATGAACTTCATAAGCTTCCTGTTGGCCCCTTTCTCCAGCTTGTCAACGTCCCTCTGAATGGCAGGACAACCACTGCCCTATTCACAGCAAAGCGAACTGTTCTCTGACTTTTTTTTTTTTTTCTATAGACAAGCCGTGCAGTCTCTTAAGCGTCTTTTGTAGTATGGCAAAACTTGCTTTCTTTACCTCCCCAGTACCATTGCATGGATGGTGTCTTTAGTGGTAAAAATTGTAAGGCTCTTGAAGTAACTCTGGCTTTATAGTCAGGGGTCTTTAAAAAGCTTAGAGGAACAACTTCTTTACAAAGTAAGCTAAAATTTAGAGATTCTTGCATATGGTAGGGATCTCTGGACAGCAAAGATAACTTTCAAAACTTAAACGTTTTCAAAACGTAATGCTTATCAACATTGCATGCTGTGAATCATCATATTATTTTCTGAAGAGTGTTTATGATAACATAAGGCTGATTACTAAAGCTGACTTAAGAAATTGTACTACTGACTGAAAATATTGCCACTTGTGTTTTTTCAGACGCTCCTATTGCAAAAGCTGCTGTTGAAAAGAAACAATTTTTTTTTATAAGAAGAGAATGGGTAAGTTCATCATCTTAGAGGGTTTTTTTTATTTCCTATAATGTGAACCATTTTCTGTCTTGCATTGGTAGAGGAGGTGGATTGTAAGACTTTCAATGTTGATCTTGTCACTGTTTTTCTTGTAGCCTCAAAAGTTAATGGAACTTCCTACAAATGTGTTTTAGGAGGATTTTCTCAAGTGATTGTTCATTTGTCGAAGGACTTGTTCAGAGTGCATCTATCTAACAATAAATTTCACTTGCTTAATATGCATAGTGCTGAAAATGTACATGCTAAAATAGGATGCCTTTAGGCTTTTATAGCACTAAACTTCTAGATAGTGGACAAGAAAATTTCACTATGTACTGTTTTAAATACTTGTTTGTTAGTTAACTAAAGTCAGCCTGTTGAATTCTGGCTAAGAGATCATAATAAGGACTGATTTCTGATAAATTACATTGTGTGCGTGTGTGATCTGACTAAATGTCTGAAACTGTCATATCTGCCTCTACAAATGACTGGTTAATGAAACATGATTGGACAGGTTCAGGTTTTATCTATACTTTTTCTGAATGTATTTTAGCATGTTTGGCACTTTATTAAAATTGGCAATAACTACATGGTAATTCAATTTCAACTTCAAATTCACAAAGCAATTTAACTGATTGGGAGAATGTTATATTTGCTATAACACTAGATAGAATGCAAGGTACTTAATATAATTAATATAATTTCTATTCTTTGTTTTATCAGGAGGAGAAACAACACTAACTTTCAAATGTCAAGTTTGTAGTCTATATCTGGTTTCTGTTCCGTACTTCTGCATACAATCACGAAATACTGGCAGTGCATTACTTTTCTAGAAGCAAACAGATCTCTTCTGTTATATTTTTCCAGGCTGGAAGAACTTCCAGGACTTTAATTTTTAACTTTCTGTCAAGATTAATACTGTTCTGAAAATCAAATTTTATGTGCAGTGTCAAATTCAAGTATTTTTTAATGGCATTCTAGCAATACTTGCTATATTAGTCCCTTAGAAAACACAATATTTGAAAGAAGTTAACTTTCCCGTTTGAATTTGATAGTATTTGTATATTTAGTGGGGTGGGGTTTTTTTACACTCATTTCTTCAAAAATATTTTAATGTTACTGCAGTCTTTATTACTTAAGAGTTTACAGGAACATATAAAGACCAACTACAGAGACAGTCTCCTGTGATGGTGTCCTATAGTACTGAGCACTATACGGGCACGAAGTAGTCGGTGGTTCCTAGCCCAGAGAGCGTGCTGCCTAAATAGGCAAGACAGGTGCAAGATGGCGAAACTGTTAAGACTGCACCGAGTGAACAGTGCGGTGGTGGCAACAGTAATGTTGTTTTTGCAACTCTTAAAGATAGCGCTGTTAGGAGAGAATAAATGAACGAACAAAAAGGGGAGGGGGATAAGGGCTTCTAGGGAATCAAAGTAGAGAATGGGTGTATAGTGAGGGAGAAGGGAAACAGAAAAAGCACAGTCAAAACTGCTGTGGGGAGAATTTCCAAATTTCCTTGCTTTTAGTGTTGTTGCACTTTCCCTGTTTTCCACCAAAGGTCCCAACATGGGTGTGCACTAACACTGTATGGTTCTGGGTCTGGCTGGGCAGTGGGGGAGGATGAATCTTACTTCATGTCATTTCTTCAGTACAGGAATACTGACTACTTTTATTCTTACCTGTGCTTCAGGAAGCGCTTTTTTCCTTGCAGTCTGTATTTTTAAATATTAGATATATATTTAGGTAACTTTTAGTAAGTACTAATACGATAAACATGGCAATAGCCTTCTGGAGGGAAGCAGTAGCATGTTCAATTCACTTGAGAATGTCTGAAGGAAAATTTCATCCCTACATAGATTTTAGAAATCATGTCAGAATTTGGTGATGGAGAAATGAGAGAGGAGAGAGATTAATAAAAAAATTCCTACTTTTGCAAAAATTCTTACTTTAAAACAGATTGCTGAGCGCTTCAGAGAAGTCATCTTCAAATATGCAAAATGATTCTGCCTTGTTTCTGGTTGTATTGGGTTCTTCAGTCTGCAAACATAGTCATAGAAAAGACTTGCATTCTTAGTGATGTGAATCGGTTGTCGTGTTTTGAAACTGTTAATCTGTTTTCCATTATAGATGGAGAAGAGAAAACGTACGGTGGGTGTGAGGGCCCAGATGCTATGTATGTGAAGTTAATATCCTCCGATGGCCATGAGTTCATTGTAAAAAGAGAGCATGCATTAACATCAGGAACAATAAAAGCTATGTTGAGTGGACCAGGTAGGTACAAAAGATTTAGTACCTTCACATCCTTTGTTTTCAATTTTGGACAGTTTGAATTTATATCACGCAGTGAGTGAAAGTTGGAATAAATTATAACTTTTCCTGATCCTGCCTAGTTCCTGTTTCCAGTGGAACACTCAGTGGGGTATTGTGCTACCAGACATATAATTGGACTCTGTCTGCTTTTGGACAGTTAAGAGATCTTACGGTGTCATTACTACTAGTTTCCCTTGGTATGAGAACTTGGGGGTATTACATGAAACGTGTAGCTGTCAAGTTCAAAACAAACAAGAGTTGGTAGTTCTTCATTGCCACCTCCATGGTGGAACTTTTAGTATTCTGTACTGGGTCTGGCTGGTAGGGAGTTAATTTTCTTCATAGCAGGTCGTATGGTTCTGTGTTTTAGATTTGTGACCCAAACAATGCCCATGATACATCAATGTTTTAGCTATTGCTGAACAGTGTTTGCACAGTGTCCAGGCCTTCTCTGTTTCTCGCTCTTCGCCCCACCCAATGAATAGACAGCGGGGTGTGCAAGAGGCTGGGAGGGAACACAACCAGGCAGATGACCCAAACTAACCAAAGATATTTATATATAAATATTGCATGCCATATAACATCATGCTCAGAAGTAAAATCTGGCTGGTAGGGAGTTAATTTTCTTCATAGCAGGTCGTATGGTTCTGTGTTTTAGATTTGTGACCCAAACAATGCCCATGATACATCAATGTTTTAGCTATTGCTGAACAGTGTTTGCACAGTGTCCAGGCCTTCTCTGTTTCTCGCTCTTCGCCCCACCCAATGAATAGACAGCGGGGTGTGCAAGAGGCTGGGAGGGAACACAACCAGGCAGATGACCCAAACTAACCAAAGATATTTATATATAAATATTGCATGCCATATAACATCATGCTCAGAAGTAAAAAAGGGAGAGGAGGGGGTTAGGGAGGTTAGCCATCTTTTGCTTGGGACCTGGCTGGGCATCTGTTGACCCATAGGAGGTGGTGAGTGATTACCTTTGCATCAGTTTTGCTTCCTTTCTCTTCTTCCCCTTGTATTTCACTTATTAAACAATTTTTTTATCTCAACCCACGAGTTTTCTTGCTTTTTACTCTTCCTTTCCTCTTCCCTGGTCCACTGCAGGGGGAAATGAGTGGCTGCGTGGTGCGTAGCTGCCTACTGGGGTTTAGGCCACAACATGTTCACAAGGCCCTATCGCAAGGAGTTTCTGAGCTTAATGACAAAAGTTAGCTTACGTTTGAGGGGAAGGTAGATAAACTTACAGAATGGAAAGACCTCATGTGTTACTGAATATATATGAGACTACCTCTGGTTTAAGAAACCTGTCTGAACTAATTCTTGAAGACCAAAAGGGTGGAGGAGAGAACAGGGAGAAATTAACGTGTGCTTTCCCTCTTCTGTACCCTCATTCCGTATGTTTACCTGTGGCCACTTGAGTGGTAGGCAGTAGGCTACGTGGAGCTCTGGTCTGAATACGGTCATTCTTATATTCTTTTTTAGATTCTGGTGAGGGGGATTACTGGAGAGATCTATTTGCTTAATATATTTTTAAATTACTTAGTAATAGGTGGGCAAACTGAGCAATTAAAATTCTTCGCTTAATGTTCTGCTAAATGTCATTGTAATGGTTGCATCTGAAAATATGTAGCAGGTCTGTTGTGTCTGATCCTCTCCATGTCAGCCTCCCAGACACGTAAGAGGAAGAGTAGTTACAAAACTTGTTCTGAATTTGTTCCGCAAACAACGTGAAGGAATAAAAGGCGAAGTAGCCTGCTTAGAGGGCTAGAGAACTGACTCCGTAAAGGAGTCGGCATTCAAGAATATTTTCTATAAAAACCAGCAAGATAAATGGGTTCACAAGGAAAAGTACTCTTGCTGTCTAGTTCAGTAGGTTATAATTTCACTGATGTGCAAGTGTTCTCTATTTCAGTACTGTGACATTGCCAATACGCTAACATTTCTTCTGTTGCTTCCTACTGTTCCTGTACTAGAATTCAATCCGGATTGGCTTCAGTGCATGCAGATAGTTCTACACAAATATGCATAGACATCAGTAAATAGCTCTGCTTTGTAGTTAGAAGGGTTAGAAGTAGA